AACTAAACAAAAAAGGGGATAAAAACGAAGGACAATTTTGTGTCTATATATTCAAAATAGGATAGATATACAGCTGCATTCTCTTAATTCAATGAATAGAGAGATTTGTTCTAATAGCGTTTGTGGACAGGATACCATGTCTGCATCTTGTACAATGAATAACCACCAAGACAACAATATGCAATGTATTAATTATTGAAACTGTGCTAGTAATCAGTTTTGAAACTGTCTCATTGCTATTTATTTCTCAATGAAGTTATCTAAAAACAAAAAACCAAAACAAAAAACCCAACTCTAAAAGTAGTAGATTTAGCTAAAAATTTGTGAGTGCTATGAGAATTTATAGACTAAGGAACATTTCCTTTTATTTACAGGGGTATATGTTACATAAGAAGAAAGTAATAGTATTATTGAAATGAGCTTTGTCATCATTCTTTGCAGAGAGTCTGATTTTTTCCCATTTAAACCATCTATCTGGCAAAAATGTAGGGTAGTAGCAATTGCACAATGGAAAACAGCAAAAGAATATTTATCTGATCACACAATAATAGTGGATAGATCTTAGAGATTGGAGTGCTTTTTTAACTCAAAAGAATTCAATCTTTTTATATGTAAGGAAACGAATGCCTAAGTACTTCCCATTGTATAAATTTTAGACATATGCATAGAAAAGGTAATTATGAAGGCCCTCATAGTTATATGATTCTACATTGTTATTTAGCTTATATGTGCTTGGGGTGGTTTGAAAACTGGGTTTTCTTGTTTCAGTTTTGGTTCTCACTATGTATAATTTTGGTTGATGGTTTACCATTCACTTCAGGTGATTTTTACTCTAAAATCATTTCAAGAGCTCTTTCTTGGACCAATCAGTGAATGGCATAGTGTGTGCATGTGTGTGTGTGTGTGTGTGTGTGTGTGTGTGTGTTCATGGCTATATTCTCCTCCTGTCCATGCACCTCCTGTCTTTCATTGTTATGAACAGTAGTATCCAGGACTCATGGGGTAGGGCTTTTCAGAATAGTGTTATCACTTGGGTTGGTGTGTAGAATCACTGTGAACCGAGGTCCAAACAACCAGGTGGCAAAAAGCTAGGCCACTGCGTGCTTCACTTCCACCCTCAGATTCCACACTGAACCATCATTGAGGACTGTTTGCCTTTTTTGCTGATATCTTCAAGATTCATATATGCAATGACAGTCGAGAAAAACTTCTGTGTCTCAGAAAACACTCAAAATTATTTGCATTGTGTTTCATAGAGATTTCTCATTCAAATAATCACATGTTTTAATTAAAATTGTAAACTAGTTTACTTCAGATGTTATCAAAAATGCAAAATATAAAGAAATAAGGAATTGTATTTTGGGAACACTATGATTGTACAACTCTAGTAAATTCTCAGGAACAAATATTAGGTAGCTTTGAAATTCACCTCTTATCCACATTTTCTATCCATACAAAAGTCCACTACTTCAATGGATCCTGATTTTAAAAAGCCACACAAATCACTAGGACATTTCCACATGCTAAAGAACATATATTTCTATGTGTCCATGTGGATTATCTATCTACTTAGATAAATTTATGTTCTTGCTTTATCATGAATGAACTCTAAGTGACCGTGGGACCTCTCTGGTCAAAACCCAGGCATGCACCATAGGTGAAACTCTCTGCCGCACCCTCGGGACCTCCCCACCAATCTGAACCCCTCCCCCCCATGCCCGCCAAGTGAGTAAAAACTTCTGCTGCATTCTTGGACCCCCAGATCCAGCCCAAGCCCAGGCCCAGTGGATATGTGGGAGAGCTTCCCCTCTCCCCTACTCACTCTTGTCCCTTTCAGACCCAGCTCAGGCCTGATATACAGGCCTAGGGTGAAACTCTGTAGCTGTAGTTCCAGTAGAGAGAGTAGGGGACAGAACCACCCAGCCAGTCCAGGACCAGATAATCTTGCCAGAGGGGCACAACAGGTTGACTCTCAAGGGCTGTAGCAGGAAGGAGCTGAGCACAGAAGGCAGACCCAAGCCAGGGACAACTGGATAATTTCAAACTCTGTAGATCTGCACCCAAATTTCAGTAGGTGCTAAGGTTATAACTGCACCAGAGCTCTACAACAAAGGTCAGAGGATAGTGCTATACAAAAATGACAATGAGAAGGAGCAAAATGCAATCTCGAACCCCAAGCCCACCCATACCAAGTGCAGAGGACACTAACACACAACAAATTGGGAATCACACAGCTGAAATCAATGAATCAATAGAGTTTGAAATAAAGAAACAACTGCAGAAAGGTATAGAGGAACTCAGATCGAAAATAAAAAAAGAAATCTCTCAATTAGTAGAATCTGAAGTAAAGAATCAAATGCAGAAACATATGGAGGAAACCCGATCCGAAAAACATTCTGCAGTAAAAGAATTAATAACTGCTTCTAAAGAAGACATTGATAAAAAAATAGAGGAGATTAGAAAAATGACGGATTCCTTGAATGAGCAATACAGGAAAGAAATAGATCGCAAGAAGCAGAGTCAAAGAGATGTAGAGGAACTTAAAATCTCAATCACAAGCTTGTAAAACCGTTTAAGTGAAGGTGAAGACAGCTTCAGATCTTGAAGATGCTGGTGCAGCTAGTGAAAAGATAAGAAAAGATCTCTTAAAACAACTAGGATGCAGGAAAAAATAATTCATCACCTGCAAGATGATGCAAAGATGAACAATGTGAGACTAATAGGCATCAATGAGAAAGAAGGAGTCAATAAAAATGACATTAAACAAATATGAGCAGAAGCAATAGCAGAAAACTTCCCAAATATGAGGAAACAATCCAGGTAACCAAAGCATACAGAACGCCAAATAACTTCAACCCAATTAAAAACACACTGAGACATACAATAGTCAAAATCCCAGAAATCCAGCACAAGAATAACATACTGAAAGCTGCTAGAGAAAAGAAGCAGATCACATTCAAAGAAAATCCATCAGAATTACAGCCGACTGCTCTTCACAAACCAAGAAGGCAAGAAAAGCATGGAGCAGAGTACTTCAAGTCCTCTATGAAAACAAACTCCAGCCCAGACTACTATACCCTGCAAAACTCTCTTTCACGTTTGATGGAGAAGTGAAATCCTTCCATGACAAAGAACAACTAAAGAATTTCATGATGACAAAGCCAACCTTTCACAAACTGCTGAAAGATGTTCTAGAGAGGGACTAAAATGATCAGAAGTCCATGAAGGAGAACAGAAGGAACCCACTAACTAGGGCAAACAATTAAACACAAGAGAAAAAGGAAAAAGGAGCAAACAACAGCAGGTAAATAACATGTCGATTGTAAGTCAATACGTCTCAGTTATAACCATTAATGTAAATGGACTCAGTTCACCAATTAAAAGAAGCAGCCTGGCATAGTGGATTATGGCACAGTGGATTAGGAAACAAAATGCAGCAATCTGCTGTATACAAAAAACACACTTAACTCAAAGAAATTCATAAGCTGAATGTCAAAGGATGGAAAACAATGCTACATGCCCCGCCACCTCAGAATGAGCTCTACATAGTTTGATCTGAATATACCCCTTAAACAATT